CGGCCCGCGGTGCGGAACCCTCTGCCCAGACACACACAGGGCTCAAGCTGAGGGCACCGAGGAGGGGCCTCGAGGTGTCTCCTTCCTCCTGCTGTGAGCCGTGTGCCGTTTACCTTCTCTGCGCGCCTGCATCCACCCGTCCTACCTGTCGTCCATCCGCCTGTCTGTCCTCACCGTCTTATCACCGTCTGCCCGCCCATCCGTTTCTGGCTGACCCCTGTTTACCTCTGTCTATCCGTCTGTGCACATCTACTGCAACCTCAGCGCATCTCCCTGCACCTCTCCCTCCGTAGTCCCCCCCTTTTTTCTTCCACCCATCCATCCTATCTGTGCCTCTGCATCTGGCATCTCATCTCCATCCATCCATCCGTGTTTTTATAGCTCTTCATCTATCCCATGATGATTCTCAACTGGAGATGATATCATCCCTTACGGAACACCTGCCTATACCCAAAAGGGTGTTTTCTTCCAATAATTAGAGTTTGCCCCTGACCCCTGCAGGTGGAGCCCAGAGATGCTGCCCCAACCCTAAAATGCACAGCGCAGCGCCTCAGTCCATCCATCCATCCGTGTTTTTATAGCTCTTCATCTATCCCATGATGATTCTCAACTGGAGATGATATCATCCCTTACGGAACACCTGCCTATACCCAAAAGGGTGTTTTCTTCCAATAATTAGAGTTTGCCCCTGACCCCTGCAGGTGGAGCCCAGAGATGCTGCCCCAACCCTAAAATGCACAGCGCAGCGCCTCAGAGAACCCCCCTGGCCCCAGATGCCCACAGGGCTGGGAACCCTGCAGGTCAGCCCAAGCCTCGTGTCCCAGTCTATCACGTACCTATGTGGGTGTCTCGGTGAGCCTGCCTGGGCCTCTTTGGTTTTACTGTCACCCATCAGTTCGATGAGCGTCTGTCACATCACAGGCGCTGCCCTCCCCCTGGCTGTTTGGCGGTGCCCGGAGATGCATCCGTTTCCACCCTGGAGGGAAGCTCGATCCTGGCTTCTCGGGAGCGGGGCCGGGACTTTCCCTGTCTGTTCCTGCAGGCCCAGGGGCAGCTCTTTGATTCAGGTGCGGAGAGCCAAGGCGGAGAAAGCCTGGTTAGATCTGGAAAACCCCACTGCCAGCATCCCTTTAATAAAAACTGCGAAAAACAAAAAACGATTAGAGGAACAGGGACCGTGGCCTGGGGTGAACACCAGGGACCCCGCGGGCAGGAAAAGCCAGCGTGCACGAGGGGCCTGGCATCTTAGCGGGGCGTCCCGCAGTGGGGCCCGAGTCTTTCCCGTCTTGGCTGTTGGAGCCTCCTCTGCGGCCGCCTGGAGCTGCAGGCTTTGGACGATCAGAGCAAAACACCTTCTCCCCGGGTCTCTTCCTGCCAAGCCTGCTGACGTCCCCACGCTGTGGGCGGCCGCGTGAGGAATGTTCCGAGGGCCCCAGATCTGTCCGAAATCAGCTTCCCCATGGCTCCGTTCTTACTGAATCCTAACCAAATACCCTTGGAGAGGAAGGTGGCACCACAGCCAGCGCTTCGATGTGTGTGCCTGTCAGAGTTATTTAAAGCTCACAAATGCATCCTCCGATGGCCGGAAACTTCCCCAGCTCAGGGCATGGCCGGAGGGCCTGGGAGTTTCAGATTCACTGAGTTCATTCTGCATTGACGGGCCCAGGGTCACTGCTTGGAGTTCAAGGTGCATGAACGCCTCTGTGGCTCTCCAAGGTTGGGGCTCCCTTGACTTATGAACCCTGTTCATCCCTGAGGGCCTGTTGTAACTCGAGTCAGTCAGCGCAAGCTCAGCCCCTCTGCACGACCTTCAGCGTCTCTCTGCTGCACACAGCAGATCTCAGGGTCCTCAGAGAGACGCTGGCCCGGGGTTTCTCAGTGAACCCCACACAGGAGAGGACGCTGTCCTGCTCCTTCCAGAGCTGTGTAAGGGTTCAGTCTGCATCTGAGACCATCAGGAAGCACAGGCGGCCGGCACTCGAGTCGTAACTCAAGGCTTTGGTCTTAAGTTAAAAACTAAAGCTCTGGTTGTAACCCGAGGTGTTTTATGTCAGGCCGGTCGTAACTCGAGGGTGCCCTGCATCTGGGCAGTACCAGCAGCTGTTTTATGGGTGATGACCAGGTTGAGTGTAATCATTGGCAGTTTCTCTGGAGGTGTACAGAAGGGACACGTACGATGGACAACAGCCCTGGACACACCAGGGGAACGATGCTGCGTCAGCCAGGGACCTCGTGCGAGTCTGCGATCCTAGCACTCTGGGAGGCTGAGGCAGGAGCGTCACAGGGTCCGGCCCAGCCCCAGAAACTTAGTGACGTAAGAAGACCCTGTCTTGTTAACTGAAATTAAAAATATTTTTTAAAAAACAGAAAAGGAGGGTGATGTAGTGCAATCCCCTGTTGAATCCCAAACATTGATGCCTTTAGGAAATACTGAAGGATTAAAATTCAGACTCACCTCGCTCCGTTCCATGGTGATAAAAGCTCCTGCAAGTGAGATTTTCCCGTGGAAGATTTCAGCTCTCAGCACTTCCAAATTCCGTCACCGGGTTCTGGGATCACCCCCAGCATCTATTAAAAATATCACACGCACAAACCCAGGCCTGCCAAAGAAATCCTTCTGTCCCTACCCCAAAGCCCAATCTTGAAACCGGGAAAACAAAATTCCTCAGTCTGGTCCCTGCGCGGCTCGGGTTTCAGGTGCCTTTGGGGGAGGCTGCAATGGCTGTGACCGGGTGAGAGGCCCTGCATTCCGCTTGCTTGAGGGAGAACGTGGCCACCGAGTGGGCTAAGTCCGATGCCTGCTCTCGGGGACTCTAGCATGCGCCTGATTTTGTCATTACAAAAGCTGAACGCCGCCGTGGAAAGTATTTGAACACACGCACACACACAAACACACACACACACACAGCCACGTGTGTGTGCCTGTGAAGAGGACTGAAATCGTCACTGTATTTAATTTCACTGAAGCAACAGCCAGGCCGAAGTAAGGGAGCTTTTGCCTTCTGCCTTTGCATCTTGGTGTTTCGTTCATCATTTCGAAAAACCAACTCTTCTGTCTGGCGATCTTTAGGATTGTTTTACTAGCAACTCAGAAGCCCGGGACGAGAGGAAAAAAGAGGCAGAAACAGGAGATGTGTAGGAAGGCACAGGTCGGGGAAAGGCATTCTCGGGTGCTGCCACAGGAATCATAGTACTTTGCCGGATGTGGTGGAGCACGTCTGACATCCCAGCACTCGGGAAGCTGAGGCAGGAGGATCTACGTGAGGTCAAGGCAAGCCCGAACCACGTAGTGAGTTCAAAGCCAGCCTACACCACACAGTGAGACCCTGTCTCTAAAAACACAGCAAAGCAAAGCAAAGCAAAACAGCTGGAAGAAAGGATTTTGAGTATTCAAAAAAAATCAGTGATTATTGGTGAAGGAAAGGAAATACAGATGCTTATCCTGATGTGATCATTGAACAGCATGGAAAGCATTACCCGCATTGACACGTCACCTCATAGAGCTACCAATTTTTATAGTTTCCAAAAAGTTTTAAAAGAGCGCTCGGGGTTTTTCTACCTCATCTTGGATGGGTACATAACAACTACCCTCTCCCTCCCCCCTTTTATTTCTTTGGGTGTCGGGAATCGAACTCAGGACCTTGTGCTTGCCAGGCAGGTGGCAGCTCCACGGGGTTACATCCCCGGCCCAACGATGGCCCGTTTTCCACGTGGCAGAGTGCCTTCCCCCCCGCAGCCTGAATCCGCCTTCCCTTTTCCCTCCCGCCGCCTGCACCCCGGGGGCCTCAGCGCTGAGCCCTGTTTTCTTTCTCTCCCCAGCTTCGACAGCCGAGTGAGGGCCTTCGGCAACGGGACCCTGGTGGTGAGATCCGTGACGGAGAAGGACGCCGGCCACTACCTGTGCGTGGCCAGGAACGAGGTGGGCGACCCCCGCAGCCTGAATCCGCCTTCCCTTTTCCCTCCCGCCGCCTGCACCCCGGGGGCCTCAGCGCTGAGCCCTGTTTTCTTTCTCTCCCCAGCTTCGACAGCCGAGTGAGGGCCTTCGGCAACGGGACCCTGGTGGTGAGATCCGTGACGGAGAAGGACGCCGGCCACTACCTGTGCGTGGCCAGGAACGAGGTGGGCGACGACCACGCGACCCTCCAGGTCCACGTGGTCATGAAACCCGCCAAGATCGAGCACAGCGGGGACGAGGCCCACAAGGTCGTGCGCGGCGGGGGCGACTTGAAAGTGGACTGCGTGGCCACCGGGCTGCCCAGCCCCGAGATCTCCTGGGGCCTGCCGGACGGGAGCAGGGTCAATGCCCTCATGCAGTCGGACGACGGC